CCCTGTCAGTACTAAAAATACAAAAATTAACCAGGCATGGTGGCAGGTGCCCAGCTACTCTGGAGGCTGAGGCAGGAGAATCACTTGAACCCAAGAGGCAGAGACAGCAGTGAGCTGAGATTGTGCCGCTGCACTCCAAAGTGGGTGACAGAGTAAGACTATCTTAAAAAAAAAAAAAACTACATTATAGGATATTAATCACAACTTAGTAAAATACTAACTGTACAACTTTATACAGGTACGAAATTAGCTTTCCTAGTGGAGAACAAGTATAGCTATAATCCAGGACAGAGCATGAACTTGAGCATCAATACGAAGGATTGTAGTCCAGCAGTGAGCACAGCCTCTCATGTATCTGTAAATGCTACAGTCCCGTACAGAGCATGAACTCGGTGTCACCTGGGTTAACTCTCCTCAAGTACAGAGGGTTCAGAATGTTACTGACACAGGGTAGCTGTCAATAATTTTTGTTTATTCACTGTGTCATAATTGTTATCACTATCTAAAGTTATTTGGTAATACTGAGGAATGAATCCCCTTAACTGTTTGCTAAAGTTTAGCCATTTAGTCTTGTTGTAGAGATCATTCTATCTGCCTAGATAAAGCACATGTGCACCCTCAGGTCTTTGCTGGCAAAATTCTGCTCATCTCTGAGAGATAACATTAGACGTAGCCTGTTTAATCTTTCTCCCCTAAAAGTACAAAAAGGTCAACAAAGGAGTGAGACTTACATTTACGGATTATCAGCACAAGGTGTGACACACAAGTGTTCAATCTATTCACCTAGCCCGGGACTGATGGGAAAAAGGGATGGTAACTGTTTTCTTGATCATCAAATGTTCTTTTTTTTTTTTTCTAAGACAGAAATGCTCTGTGCCCCAGGCTGGAGTGCAGTGACATGATATCAGCTCATGCAACCTCCGCCTCTGGGGTTCAAGCGATTCTCCCGCCTCAGCCTCCCGAGTAGCTGGGATTACAGGCACCCGCCACCACACCCAGCTAATTGTTTTGTATTTTTAATAGAGATAGGGTTTCACCATGTTGGCCAGGCTGGTCTCGAACTCCTGACCTCAAGTGATCCGCCCACCTCAGCCTCTCAAAGTGCTGGGATTACAGGCGTGAGCCCCCACACCTGGCTGATCATCGAATATTCTAATTTAAACATTGCTACCTTCAGATTTGGGGGTTAGAGCATTCATTAGATGATACTCATTTTAGCTTAGGGAAGCCCATGGGGAAATGGTGGAAACCAGATGGTTCTATAAGTCCTCCCAGCATCCGGAGGCCACGTATTCAGTGGGCACCCTCCCTCTGGCTTGCTGTTTGAACATGTGCAGCCATAGGCCCTCTGAGCTCTCAGAGCCCTCCACCGGGAAATAAAAGAGCTGGACCAAGGAAATAATCGTACTTGTTAGGATTTTCAGTGTGGTCAATATGAGAATTTTCTTAACTCATTCCCTAACACTGAAAGTATGTAATGAATGCCCGGTACGTTAATGGCCATACAGAAAACCAGACTGGGTCCTGTCGTCCAGTTATGGCTGAATATAAATCCACTCTCCATCTGTGTGGCAACAGCAAGTTCTTGACATTCTTACTCAAAGAGGGTACAGTCTACACTTTCTCAGTTTCTTTTTTTTTTTTTTTTTTGAGACAGAGTCTCGCTCTGTCCCCCAGGCTGGAGTGCAGTGGCCGGATCTCAGCTCACTGCAAGCCCTGCCTCCCGGGTTTACGCCATTCTCCTGCCTCAGCCTCCTGAGTAGCTGGACTACAGGCACCCGCCACCGTGCCCGGCTAATTTTTTGTATTTTTAGTAGAGATGGAGTTTCACCGTGGTCTCGATCTCCTGACCTTGTGATCCGCCCGCCTCGGCCTCCCAAAGTGCTGGGATTACAGGCGTGAGCCACCGTGCCCGGCCACTTTCTCAGTTTCTTTGCAGCTTGTTATGATTACAGGATACCTGTTGTTTACTTTTATATTAAAATATCTTCAAACTTAAAGACGTCTTACCAAAAACAAACAAAAACAACAAAAGATTCTTGTAGGCAAGTCACACAGACTAACCAATTGTAAATTTTTTTTTTCCCTGTTTGGGAAGGGTTTAGAAACTGGAAATACTAGATTCGGGAGAACGGCAGACTTGCTTGATAAGGGACCAATGTTTGTGCAGTAACTTGGAGTGTGGTTTGTTTCTGAATCCTTAATTAAAACCTGGAATTGGCCGGGCTCAGTGGCTCACGCCTGTAATCCCAACATTTTTGGAGGCCGATGCAAGTGGATCACGAGGTCAGGAGTGTGATGCCAGCCTGGCCGACATGGCGAAACCCCGTCTCTACTAAAAATACAAAAATTAGCCGGGCATGGTGGCACACACCTATAATCCCAGCTACTCAGGAGGCTGAGGCAGGGGAATCGCTTGGACCCGGCAGTCGGAGGTTGCAGTGACCTGAGATCATGCCATAGCACTCTAGCCTGGGTGACAAGAGCAAGATTCCATCTCAAAATAAATAAATAAATAAATAAATAAATAAATAAATAAATAAATAAAATTTAAAAAGTAAAACTTGGGATTATATATCCCCAATAGATATTCATACTTGAACCACAGTCACAAATGCAAAAATTCTTAATATGTAAAATGCAAAAATTCTTAATACTATTCTTTGCACTGTATTGTAATCATTTTATATATACGAATATATATGTGTGTATATATATATATATTGCTTACGTTGTTTGTACAGATGTGGACCACCATTGCAACAAAATAAATTCTTTTTGCTCTAAAATATTTATAAAGAAAATACTTAAATGCTATGTATAGGGTGGTAATAAGGGAAAAATCAAGTATTATAAACAAGAATGAAGGTTTTCATAAAGATTTCTCTTCAGTGTTTTGCAAGGTATAATTCCAGGCACATTTTCCCTGAAGTTATGTGTATGTGAGTATTCTCATTCTTCCCAACTTGCCTTTGAAGAGTGAAAAACCATTATTATCAAGTAGATTTCTATTCAGCTTCTATTCCTGCCCTGCTGTTTGTCCCTTAAGAATGAGTTTCTTGGATGTTTCCAATATGTGATTTTTTTTTAAAAATCACCATTTTTTAGAATGGTGATTTTAAATGTGTGAGTGCATGCATTTTTTTTTTTTTTTTTTTTTGAGGCAGAGTCTCGCTCTGTCGCCCAGGCTGGAGTGCAGTGGTGCAATCTCGGCTCACTGCAAGCTCCGCCTCCCGGGTTCACGCCATTCTCCTGCCTCAGCCTCCCGAGTAGCTGGGACTACAGACGCCCGCCACCTCGCCCGGCTAGTTTTTGGTATTTTTTAGTAGAGACGGGGTTTCACTGTGTTAGCCAGGATGGTCTCGATCTCCTGACCTCATGATCCGCCCGCCTCCGCCTCCCAAAGTGCTGGGATTACAGGCGTGAGCCACCACGCCCAGCCGCATTATCTTATCTCAATTATTTGCACCCCCAGTCCACCCCCATCTCCCTAAAGCTAGAACACTGCCAACTGATCTGTTGCAGAGGTCCTTTGGAAACATATAACTAACACTTAAGGTTGGGTGCTGCTAATTTTTTTTTTTTTTTGAGATGGAGTTTCGCTCTTGTCACCCAGGCTGGAGTGCAATGGCGCAATCTCAGCTCACTGCAACCTCCGCCTCTATGGTTCAAGCGTTTCTCTTGCCTCAGCCTGCCAAGTAGCTGGGATTACAGGCGTGAGCCACCACGCCCAGCCGCATTATCTTATCTCAATTATTTGCACCCCCAGTCCACCCCCATCTCCCTAAAGCTAGAACACTGCCAACTGATCTGTTGCAGAGGTCCTTTGGAAACATATAACTAACACTTAAGGTTGGGTGCTGCTAATTTTTTTTTTTTTTTGAGATGGAGTTTCGCTCTTGTCACCCAGGCTGGAGTGCAATGGCGCAATCTCAGCTCACTGCAACCTCCGCCTCTATGGTTCAAGCGTTTCTCTTGCCTCAGCCTGCCAAGTAGCTGGGATTACAGGCGTGAGCCACCACGCCCGGCTAATTTTTTGTATTTTTAGTAGAGACGGGGTTTCTCCATGTTGGTCAGGCTGGTCTCAAACTCCCGACCTCAGGTGATCCGCCCGCCTCGGCCTCCCAGAGTGCTGGGATTACAGGCGTGAGCCACCGACCCCGGCAGGTGCTGCTCATTCTTTGTGAAAATCCAAATATTGTTAAGGAACCAGGGAGCTGCCACTACCTCTTGATTTTCCATCTAAAAATATACATGTTTATGTAAACAAATCTTTCCATTTTCATAGTGACTTTTCAAGTCTTTGAGCCTAAAGATTTTGATCTCACATTTTTATACCTATTTAAATTGTTCACAATAATTACATACACGTCAGTCATCAACTAAAGTTGTACTTTAAAAATTTACTACAATATGTACGTTGCTGATATTTGTACTTACTCTTTTTTTCTCTAGAGTGGAGGTATAATTATGTGATATTTCAGAAGTACAGATACATGATTCAAAAAGACTCAGAAAGGGAGAATAATGTATCTTTGATCATGAATAACTGATTAGTAATTCTTGCCTATATTTTCCTGATAACATATGACAAATGTTTCTAAGGTAACAAGATGAGAACAGATAAAGATTACGTGGTGTTTTCGATTTGGAGAGAAATATTTTAATTTTTCGATGCAGTTACAAATTATAATGTATTCATATTTGTGCTTTCTGTTAGAATAGACGATTGCAGGGTTGTTTAGATTTTGTGTTGATTCTTGAGGAAAAGCTTTGCTTTTCAGTTTGCGCTCAAACCTTAAGAAATAAACTCACCCATATTATCAAAAAAAAATATTTGTCCTTGTGTTTCTTATTGAATTTGTAGTTCAGTCTCATGAACGCAAACTCAGATGACCCCTAAAATGGTCTCTAGATAAGTTCATGATTGCTCAATATCTTCAATCTTTTGAGTATAGGTCACACTATACCTCTCTTTATCAGCAAGTAAACTTTACAACAAACATGTGACAGGCTGGGACAAGGTTAAAGATCGTTTTCTCCTTGCTGTAAAAGCTGATCTGCCTGCAGCCGCCACAGCCTCCAGCGGTGTCCACAGTTGGAACCCACGCAGGAAGAAGTCGTCGTGATGTCGGACGATTTCTTATGGTTTGAAGGCATAGCTTTCCCTAATATGGGTTTCAGATCCGAAACCTTAAGAAAAGTACACGATGAGTTCGTGATAAAGGATGAAGATGTAATAATATTGACTTACCCCAAATCAGGTAAGGAGGCAGAATCGTGAACTGAGAAAGGCGGTCCATTCGGTGCATGACTGGAGTGCTTGCTTTATGTCAGACAGGGTACCATGCTTTAAGGGGAAGAGAAGAATGCGTAATACCACTGACAATCAGAGAAAAGGATTTAGTCAGGAAATTACGCAGTAGGATGAATGTTCAGAGGGGTAATCGAAGGTATTAGGAGCATCCACAGGAGTGAATCCCAAGGCAGATTCAGGTGTTTGTTTGGTGGCAGGGGGAGGAAGGATGACTGAGGATGACCAGTGATGTCCTGAAAGAAGAAACAGCATTTAAATGGAAATGGGAAGAATGAGTATGAAATTACTTGGTGGGGAGGGATATTTTCAGATAGGAGAATCATCAGGGACAATGACCAGGAACCACAAAAGAGCCTGGCAATCTCACGGGGCTTAAAGATGAGGATCGTATGTCTCTGGGAGTGGGGCTGTGGATGGAGGGTGGTAGGAGCACTGCGGATGGGGTGAGGATTGAGGCTGAAGACATTGGAAGTGGCATGGGCCTGAGAGGCCAAGAGCAATGGAAACTTATTAAGAGGATTTCAGCAAATAGCCAAAAGACGGAAGCAACCGAGATATCCACTGACAGGTGAGTGAATAGACAAAATGTGGTTTATAGATATAATGGAATGTTATTCACCCTTGAGAAGGAAGAAAATTCCCATGCATGCTACAACAGGGATAAACATCAAGGACATTATGCTAAATGAAATAAGCCAGTCACAAAAATACAAATACTATGTGATTCCACTTACATAAGGTACCTAGAGTCATCCAGTCCGTAGAAACAGAAAGTACAGTGGTGGCTGCCAGGGACTGAAGGGAAAGACAAATGGGGAGTTGGTGCTGGCTCTGCGTAGAGTTTCGGTTTTGCAACACAAAGATCCTCTGGAGATTGGTTGAGTAACAGTGGGAATATACTTAACACTTAACACTACGAAACTGTAGGCTTAAAAGCGGTTGACAGGCCGGGCATGGTGGCTCATACCTGTAATCCCAGTACTTTGGGAGGTCAAGGCAGGCAAATCGCCTGAGGTCAGGAGTTCAAGACCAGCCTGGCCAACATGGCAAAACCCCGTCTCTACTAAAAATACAAAAATTAGCCAGACGTTGTGGCACACGTCTGCAGTTCCAGCTACTTGGGAGATTGACCAAGAGAATCACTTGAACCCAGGAGGTGGAGGTTGCAGTGAGCCAAGATCGTGCCACTGCACCACTCCAGCCTGGACGACAGAGCAAGACTCTGTCTCCCTGTCTCAAAAAAAAAAAAAAAAAAAAGTGCGGTCATAGCCTGGCTGCAGTGGCTCACCGCCTGCAATCCCGTGCTTTGGGAGGCAAGTAGCAAGATCGCTTGCGGTCAAGTGCTCAAGACGCAGCCTGGGCAATATACGCAAGGCCCTGGTCTCTACAATAACATTTTTTTTTTTAATTAGCCCGGCCGGCTGTGCTCATGCCTGTAACCAAGCTTTCGGGAGGCCGAGGTGGCGGGATCACGAGGTCAGAGACGAGCCTGATTCCATGGCTAACATGGTGAAATCCCGTCTCTACCCTAAAAAACAAAAAATTACCGGCATGTGGTGGTGGGCGCCTGTAACCCAGCTACTCCAGGAGGCGCGCAGCCAAGGGAGTAGCCAGGAACCGGGACATGCAGCTTGCAGTGACCGGATCATGCCCACCTGATCTCCGCCCTGGCACAGCAGGCAAGACTCACTGTCCTCAAAGATAATAAAAAATAATCTGTTAAAAATTAAGTTGAGACTGGACTGTTTTTCGTTCTGAGTTTTTTTGTTTGTTTTTGTTTTGTTTGGTTTGTAGATGGAGTCTCCTCTGTTGCCCAGGCATGGAGTGCTGTGCACATCTCCAGCCTCACTGCAAGCTCCGCCTCCCAGGTTAAAGCAATTCACTGCCTCAAACCACGAAGTAGACTGGAAATTACAGGCGCCCGTCACCACAACTGGCTAACTTTTGTATTTTAATACGGGTTTCACCACTGGCCCAGGTACCTTGAACCAACACAAACACAGATTGACAACCTGACCTTGACACACAACAAAAGTGCTAGGGATTCAGAACAACACAACCGGACATGGTACAT